GCCTTATACCATTTTTAATAATAATAAAAAATAAAATTAAATAAATAATTATTTCTTTTGAGAAATAGATTTTTGCTATAGGGCACATGAGATTGCCAGAGAAACAGAATGCAAGAAATCACAAGAATGCAAGAAATCACTCCTCAGGGGAGATGACCATGCTGCAATTCCCTCTCCTCCATTCTCCTCTTGGGATCCTGGACATGGACACACACACACACACACACACACACACACCCAGTATGAGCTTCAAGTCTCTGGATCCAGGACTTGAACCGCAGTCAGTCACATGGAGTCCAGTACCTCACCAATATGTCACCTGCTTTTCTCTAAATAAAGAATTCTTTTAAAAAAGATGAATCTTTCTATTAAGTAAATTAGAAAGAAATCTAACTAATGGTGGCAGAAATATTAATATAATTGAAATCTTTTGCATTTTCTATTTACCAATGAAGTTACTATGAGGCTCAAATGAGACAAAGCATACACAATTTTATTATAATTCTTGACATATAATAAGCAGTTATTTTGAGATGCCTGATTAGATTCACGTATAGAAAGAATATTTTTAAATGCTTATAACAATATACTTATGGCACAAATGCATATATAATGAAATATTAATATTTAAATGATCATTGTTTCTGTTGATATGTCTAATTATTCCGTCTATACATTTTTAGCTTTGGACATTGGCAAAAAGATATATGTTGTATATACAGGTGCTAGTATCCATGTAATGGATAGATTTCCGAGCTCTGATGCAGATAGCATTGTTGCCCTTTGATTTTTTGACTAAGAAAGTATGAATGATCACTGATTACTACACCATTTGCCACAGATTTGAAACAAAAATAAAGGATCAGCAAAGAGGACAAAAGAAAGAACAGAAAAAAGATTTTTTTTCTAAATTCTTAGTTTTTAAAGTTTCCAGTATGGGCACAGGCTCACATAAGAATGAGGTAGACTGATCGGCCCTGTTACCTAGTGCTTAAGGGATCCAGATCCCACATGGTCCACCATGGTTCCAATCCCGGCACCTCAGTTTGAGAACATGTTGGAAGCATATGCATGCATGCTAAAGATTTGAAAGAATTGGGACCAACAGATGGTGCAATGGCTGCATCGCTGGACTCCCATATAGTTGACCGTGGTTTGGGTCCCAGACCCAGTGGCTTAAACTCACACCAGACATGTGTGTGTGTGTGCCCAAAATCCCAAGAGGAGAATGGAGAAGAAGGGATTGTGGCATGGCCCTCCCCCACCGGAGGTGCTTTCTCACTTTCTCTCTCTCTGGCAAGTACACACAACCTACAGCAAATTAGTCACGGGTGAGCAGTAGAAAAAAAATGAAAAAAAAAAAAAAAAAAAAAAAAAAAAAAGATTGGAAAGAATAGAAAAATGGAGCATAAGGGATTGCAGCATGAGAACATCCATGGCGGATGATATCTTCCCTGCTCCCCCCCCACACACACATACACCACCTCTTTCTCGTACATCCTTTGGCCATTAAGGGAAAAATAGAATGAAGTGGGCAAAATAATGACACTAACAATTCCTAAAAGCTTGAGATATTTAAATGGTCAAATGAAACTGAATTTTACATGGCACCTCGGGAATTGAAAGTAATTACCATAACAAACTAACAGCTTAAATAAGCAAAATGACAGAGCATGCACAGTACTGTTATCCCATAAAAAGAATAGTAAATATTTGGAAACTCTGGTACATTAAAGGTTTCAGTGTTAATCTGGATTTTTAATTGCTTGTACAAGACTATATTGTTTCAGAATGTATATATTCTTCTTGCTTTTATGAAAATGTAACATGACAAATTGGCTCTCAAAACAAAAAAAAATAATGACATGACAATGAACAAACAAAAAGAACTTGTTAATATCTGCAACAATATAACAAGTAAAAACAGACTGGAATAGGAAAAGCAACAGAAAAATCTTAGTGTAAGCTTTTAGTCATTCAGATACATGGTGCAGATGTTCTGTGTTTCTTAAAAAATTGACACAAGTGTCATTTGTAGTTTCATTTCTTTGTTTGCTAGTGCTTGCCTAACGAAAAAAAAGAAAACAAGACCAAAAAATCAGGCATCTACTACAAATACTGGATGAATTGTTAAAAATTATTTTGTTTCAGGGTCCAGCAGGTGACACACTGGTTAAGGTGCTGGACTCCCATGTAGTTGACTGCAATTTTGAGTCCCGGACCTGGCGACTTGAAACTCTCTCTGGGTGCATGTGCATGCGTGCCCAAAATCCCTAGAGGAGAATGTAGGAGAAGGGACTGTGGCATTGCCATCCCCCCGGGGGATGGTTTGTCACTTTCTGTTTCTCTCTCTGGTGAGTGCATGTGCCCTGTAGCAAAAATCTCTCTCAAAAAAAAAAAAAAAAAAAAAAAACAAAAACTATTCTTTCTTATTCTCTACTCTTAAGCTTCTATTATAATTAACTTCATGAAATTGAAATTTTAGATTAATACTTTAATACTTCAAAAATTTTGTTTCACATAGTTTATTTCCTTGTATTTTACTGTTTTTATTTTGTTTTATCTCTGTGTATGTGAGTGAGACACAGAAAAAATAAAATATCCCTTATTCCTCCCCAATAATCTTGGCTTTGGGAAAAAATGGTAATTCTGTAATTAAACCTGACTGTACTGAGGACATGAAGAAGCAGGGCTTCTAGTAGGATCGCCATTATAATCATCTATGAGGAAGTTGGTAGAGAAGGAGCTCAGATGTGGACAGACACAGCTTATGTTGGAGACAGAGTCAATGGGAAATGCTGATTGGGGAGCACAAGGGAGCAGTCAAGGCCACGTAGGAAGCCTAAAAAAATAGGCATATGCTACTGACTGAGATTGTGATGCAGGGAGAACTGTTATTGTTTGCCATTTATTTATTTATTTTATTTGAGGCAGACTGGAGTGGGAATAAGATCAGGAGTTGAGTGTTTTAACGTAGTAAATTGAGAATGCTTATTGTTCATCTAAGTGGGGATCCATGTAAGCAATTAGACAGAAGTCTGAAATCCAGAGGAAAAGCCTGGTCTGGAGTTTTGAGTACGAGAGCCTCCAGCGTGTAGGTAGGATTTAAAGCTGCACTGTTGGATGAGGTGATCCAGAGTGATGTTCACGAACAGACTTTTGAAGCAATTCAGTCTAAAGAAGTCACAAATTGGGAGAAATGAGCAAAGAAAATGTGATAATATAGTTGATCATGTGGAATTAAAAGTAAGAGATTCTGATAACACAGGAGCCATGTGAAAGAAGTACTTCTTGGAGGGGTCACTTTTCTAAAGTGCAGATTAAATAATCGTAGAATGTTTCCCCATGAGAATTGGCATGCAATACTGGCATACTCAGTAGCTTATCACTAACTGAATTGTTATTCACTTGTCCCTGACTCTGTAGTTTATGCCGTCAAAAGGAAACTTCTATTGTCTATCCATTGTGGGAGCTCAGAGGGGTATTCCTTGACCCAGGTTATGTAATCCATCTGAAACAAATCAAAGCTAACTGGTTGACCAGGAGATAATGGCTCTTTGGACGAGTGATTTCACACTCAGGTTCTATGGTTAAGACAACTGCCCCTTTCTTAGGTTCTGCCCACTCTAGGGACGTGCCCATTAGTGGAGAGACTGTTCTCTCTGCCAGTCCACTAACCTATAAATTACATTCTCCTAGCCCATTACCAGATGTGTCCCTTCTTGGGTCCACGTTTAGTGAGATCCCTTGTACATCTTTTATGTACCATCCTGATTTCTTTCTTTTATCTCTGTCTTCCATAAGGGCATTTATGCTAATCAGATGAAAATAACAACAACAAAAAAGATGAATTAGCTGTCTGTGAAGGTTAATCCCCAGAGTCTAGCCCCACAAAGCAAAGTGTATTTAATTATTTGGAGCAAGAGAAATCCAGAACATAAGTCAGAAGCTATAGGTTTTTGTCATCTCTGGCTTAGGTGAGGGAGAGAAGAAAACACCAATGAGAAAATGTTAATGTTGAAAGTTTTTAATATACTGGGTGTTCGTCAGTGTGCCTGGACATGTATTATTTCCATTGAAACTGATGGCATTTAACATGCATGTTGTTAAACTCTCATTTTATAAATGAAAAAAACTGAGAAATAATTATATCATGGGCAAGTGGAGCATGATTTTGAATTCAGGCTCTCTGGCTCCATACTCAGAATTCTTCACCAGAAAGTTTTACTGACTTGAATTATTATCTTGTATATTCTGAACAAAGAAAAAATAAATGTACCTTAAGTAATTTCTTGACACTGTAAATATTTATGTGGAATTTAGCAAATTTATTTGAATTATAGGATTAGACTTGAATAAAATTAAAGTAAAATTATATTTTAAATAAAAAGTAATTAAGTTCACTAAATTTAAGTTAAACAAGTAAACCTTGGAAAATCATTAGGTTTCTCTGCCAGGTAAGATGGTATGACTATGTATGCAGAAATACTGGGATCAGGTACAAATAAATTTTAAAAAATTTGTCAGAGCTCATGTATGCTTGGTGGAGAGTGACACAAAGAGAGAGAGAGAGAGAGAGAGAGAGAGAGAGAGAGAGAAAGTGAGAAAGCATGCTCTATGGGACATGGTCTTGCCGTGCACCCTCGTCCTCCATCTCTCCCTCCTTTGGGGATTGTGGGCACCTACACATGGACCCAGCTAGTGGGTTTGGGACTCACACCATGGGGCAGCCACCTGGGATCTAGCCTTTTTAACAACTAGGCTATGGGTTGGCTGTACAATATATTTTACATTTTGCCATTAGGCAGTCTTTCATTTTTATTCCTTAAAAGTATCATGGATAAATATATATTAGATGGTATAAAAGGAAATGCAAAAAAAAGAAAAGTATCATGAATATTCTGTCCTCGTTAGTTCCAAACTTCTATTGTATATTACTCTACTAAGTGGGAACCCTGTTATTTATTTGATAATTAGATTTTATATTTTCTCTTCTGAAGGCAACTGATCGAGAGGGAGACCCAATAACATATGCCATTGAGAATGGAGATCCTCAGCGAGTTTTTAATCTTTCAGAAACGTAAGTTAAGAATGACTTCTAATTTGATTTTTATTCTTTTTTCATGTCAAAGAGGGTACTGATAGTGAGCAAACAGCCTTTTAATCAGAGATTTCCAGCTGTTTGTAGTTTTCACATTTTTATATTAATAGGAGCTGGAAGAATAATTCTATACCTAAAAATTTTACCCAGGACACTATTTTAAACATTTTTATTAGGTAAAATCCACTGAGGCAGAAACATTTCATTTTCAGGCATAACTTGGGATTAATTAGATTCCTTTAAAATTGTCAGTTACTTAGGATGACACAGACATTTCTACAAAGAGTAACTTGGCATTAAACTACTCATTCAAAGGTAATCTTATAAGGCAAGGTGTGTTACAAATATACAGAAGATGCCACTAAAATCTGTCCTCCAACGATCGATTAACATAGGTATGTTCTTGAAAAGATACAACTAAAGCACGAAATGCATGTCCATGCTAATCTTCTTTGAGGTCTAGATCAGTGTCATTCTATTTCTCTGAACATATTTAGATAACACTTACCATAACTATTGAGAGAACTGTAACCAGGCATCAAAAGAAGGCAGTTAGGTTTCAAGAGAGATCATTTACTTGTCCCTCTCAATAGCAAAGTGGCCGTTCTGCTGTCACAACTGGTGGGCTGCTAGAGAGCTGTGTTAGTTCTGATATTTTCTATGTAATTGTGATAGGTGTTATTCCTTAAAAGAGTGGAAATATAAACTTAGCTTATGGTTATAAAACAGATACTTTGACAGAGTAGTTGAGTCACTGGTTCAGCGTCAGGACCATGTGGTACATAATGCAAGATCAAGAGAGCCATGTGTAGGTCCCGTGGTCTGCTGATGAACACCTGCAACCTTACATTGGATAGGATTTTACAACCATGAGTTAGTAATGTCTGGAAAACCATAACAAGAACAGTTTTTCTCAGAGTTTTATATTTCACACATGAATAAACTTCTATTAAAACAAAAAGCCTGAACTGCTTAGAATTTTATCCCAAGGGATGTCAAAATCATAAATCATCCACAATTTATAATTACCATTATAGAAAGAAAACATTTCATAGTAACACTTTAATCAAGACTGTGTAGTATTGGCACAAGAATAAATATATAGATCACTGGGATAGACTTCAAGAAATTCAGAAATAGTTATTAATATTTATAGTCAATTAATTTTTTAAAAAAGGGGCCAAGATGATCCAATCAAAAAGAATTTCCTATTCAACTAATGAACGTGGGCCAACAAAGAATGAAGTTGGTGCTCTATTTCATACTATTCCCAAAGCTAACCAAAGTTTGAACATAGACCTACCTATGAGAAAAAAAAATAAAGCTCAGAAGAAAAAACAAAAGTAAATCTTTATTATTTGAATTATGCAGTTTGTTTAGATACAAGACAAAAAGTATCTGGGGACTTTAAAATGTTTTTGAAAAATACACATTATGAAAAAATTATTCATACATTTCAAAATTTTTTGCACCAAAATACACTTGTACTGTCATTCAGTTTTATGCCCAAATTTTTCTAGTTCTTTATATAAATGATTATTACTTGATAAATTGGACTTTATCTGACAAAATGATAAATGTGTTTCAAGAGCATTATCCACAAAGCCAAAGGCAATCCACAGAAGAGAAAAGAACTATAAATACTGTAAATAATAAATGTGTATCTACAATACATAAAGAACTATTACAACTCAAAAAATAAAGAGAAATTACATCATTAAAAATGGCAAAGGTTTTTAGGAAATATTTCTTCAAAAATGACATACGAGTGGCCAGTAAGCACATGAAAATACAACATGGTCACTAATCATAAGGGAAATGCAAAGTAAAGCTATACAAAAATACTACTTCACATCACTTAGAATGGACATGATGAAAATCCTGCGGCTGTGCTCATATATGTGTTAGCCACACATGTATTTAAGTACCTCTGTTTGCATCTTTTTTATTTCCTCTTGGTCCCTTCCTCCTCCTCTTTGCTTTTTTTTTTTATTTTTTTTTATT